AGGCCTAAGGCAGACAAGTGCCAGGGACTAGTGATGTCCTTTACTGAGGAAGATCTGGAGATGGTGCAGCATCCACACAACGATGCCTTGGTAATATCCCTCCAGATTGGAGAATACCAAGTGAAGCGTATCTTAGTTGACCAGGGCAGCTCTTGTGACATCATGTATGTCAGGTGTTACCAGGAGCTTGGCCTTTACCAAGATGATCTGGAGAAGTCCAATGGCCCAATGGTTGGGTTCAATTCGATGCCGACATGGCCCTTGGGAGCAGCAAGTTTGGAGGTGCAGTTTGGCACCAAGAAAATAAAAACAGAGTTCACCATAATTGATACCCCCTCCCCTTATAATGCTATCTTGGGAAGGCCATGGCTACATGCAATGGAGGCTGTTCCCTCAACATTACATCAGTTATTGCGGTTCCCAACGGAGCATGGAATAAAGGAGGTCAGAGGGGATCAGGTGCATGCAAAGAATTGCTCCATGGCAACAATGAAATCAACCTACAACATACGAGATGCAGAAACAATAGAGATAGAGGATGAGAACGTGGAAGTCCTGAAGGACGTTGGCAAAGAGCCAGCCAAGAAGAGTGATGAAACCCTGAAGAAAATCCGTGTCCAGCAAGAGGATAAAGAACGCTTCTTCCTTTTCGGCTCGGGCTTGGCCGAGGATGAGAAAAAAGAGTTAAAGGCATTCCTAAGAGCAAATCTGGAGGTGTTTGCATGGACACCATACGAGATGCCTGGCATTGACCCCGAGGTCACCTGTCATAGACTGAATGTAGACAGGTCAGCCAAACCTGTCATCCAGCGAGCAAGGAGGCCAACACTAATGCATGTTGAGGCAGTAAAAGAGGAAGTGGATAGACTTCTAGAGGCCAGAGCCATTCGAGAGGTAAATTTCCCGACATGGTTATCAAACACAGTGGTTGTGAAGAAAAAGAATGGTAAGTGGAGGGTCTGTATGGACTTCACCAGCCTGAACAAGGCTTGTCCCAAAGACAGTTTCCCATTACCCAAGATTGACCAATTGGTGGATGCCACTTTAGGACATGGAAGGATGAGCTTCTTGGATGCCTACATGGGGTACCATCAAATAGCTATGTACCCTCCAGATGAGGAAAAGACTACATTTATCACCCCAAAAGGGCTATATTGCTACAGAGTAATGCCTTTTGGGTTGAAAAATGCGGGAACAACTTACCAGAGATTGGTAACCAAGATGTTCAGACATCTAATTGGCAGAACAATAGAGGTATACATAAATGACATGGTCGTGAAGACCAAAGAAGCTAAGGACCATCTGGAAGACTTAAAGGCAATCTTTGACATCATTAAAACATATCAGCTCTGAGTCAATGCATCGAAGTGTGCATTTGGAGTTAGGTCTGGTAAGTTCTTAAGATACTTGGTAACCAGAAGGGGCATTGAGGCAAGCCTAGATCAGATCAAGGCCATCTTAGAACTGAAGAGCCCAACATCGGCAAAACAAGTGCAGATGTTCACTGGAAGGGCTGTGGCCCTGAATAGGTTCATAAGCAGAAGCTCTGATAAATGTAAGCCTTTTTTCAGCTTAGCGAAGAAAGCCACAGATTTCTTATGGACCGAAGAGTGCGAAGCCACCTTGGCCGACTTGAAGAAGTACTTGACCACAACTCCAGTTCTCTCAAATCCAGTACCTGGAGAGGAGCTGTTCTTATACTTGGCAATTTCAGAGCATGCAGTGAGTGCAATAGTAGTCAGAGAAGTAAAGGAAGAGCAAAAGACAGTTTACTATGTGAGTAAAACACTAGCAGATGCAGAGACCAGATACTTACCCTTGGAAAAGATAACACCGGCTTTAGTAATGGCTTTCAAAAAACTAAATCATTACTTTCAAGCCTACAAAATTGTGGTGTTAACTGAACATCCTTTGAGGTCCCTATTGCAGCAGGGAGATCTGACAAGCAGAATAGCCAAATGGGCAGTGGCCTTGGGCCAATATGACCTGGAATTCAAATCCAAGACAGCAATCAAAGGCCAAGTCTTAGCCGACTTCGTGGCTGAGTTCACACCAAACGCCGTTATACATCGGACTCCGTTGAGCCGAGATATACAACGTCCAAGTGAGCAAGGAAAAACCCAGCGGGGGACAGCAGAACAAAAGAAGGAAGAGAAATTCAGGCCCTGCAGTATTTACATTGGCGACTCATTCTAGATGTTTGTTAATGGAAGTTCAAACCAACAAGGAGCGGGGACATGAGTAGTGCTAGTATCTCTAGATGGGCAGATACTAGAACAATCCATTCGTTTGGGGTTTAAGGCCTCAAACAATGAAGCAGAGTATGAAGCATTAATCGCAGGATTAAAGCTGGCAACAACCATGGAAGCTGACGAGGTAATAGTATTCTGTGACTCCCAGCTTATAGTTAACCAGGCAACAGGCGAATATGCAGCCCGAGATGAAAGGATGTCGGCATTTGTAAAGGAAGTGGGCAGACTGATAGCCTTATTCCAGAATTGCCGACTACAGCAAGTTAGCCGAGATGACAACAACCATGCAGATGCTCTGGCCAACCTGTCTAGTGCAATGAAACTTGGAGAGGAAAGAACGATAATGGTTGACTACTTGTCAGGTCCAAGCAAAGAACCACTGAACACAGAGCGTGAAGCAATGTGTGTGGAGATAGGACCAAGTTGGATGGATGCAATAATAACATTCCTTAGAGATGGGAAACTGCCAGATGATCATAAAGAGGCGCATAAGATCAGATTAAAGTCGGCAAGATTCAGTTTGACAGCAAAAGGACATCTCTACAGAAGATCTTTTACTGGACCTCTTCTGAGGTGTGTACATCTTGCACAGGTTGAAGATTTTCTGTACCAGATACATGAAGGAGTATGTGGAAGCCATGCTGGGGGCAGGTCACTTGCTCATAGGGCCATTACTCAGGGGTACTGGTGGCCCTACATACAGAAAGATACTAAAGCCTATGTCAAGAAGTGTAAGAAGTGCCAGAGGTTTGCACATTTGATACATCAACCAACTGCAGACTTGAACCCAGTATCCAGCCCTTGGCCATTTGCCCAATGAGGCATGGATCTTGTTGGACAACTGCCTCAAGCAACTAGACAAAGGAAATATCTGCTGGTAGCAACAGATTATTTCACCAAGTGGGCAAAAGCTGAACCCTTTGCTAAGATTTGGGACGTTGATGTGAAGAACTTCATATGAAAGAACATCATCACTAGGTTTGGGATCCCAAGAGCAATAATAGCTGACAATGGTACACAGTTTGACAATAAACTAATCAAGAGCTTCTGTGCAAAGTACAAGATCAAGAATTATTACTCTACTCCAAGCTTCCCTCAGAGTAATGGCCAAGCAGAAGCATCCAACAAAGTTATCGTGGATGGAATCAAGAAGAGACTGGAAGCAGAAAAGGGAAAGTGGATGGATGAGCTGTCCAATGTACTTTGGGCATATCGGACTATGCCAAGAAGATCAACTGGGGAATCCCCATTTGCCATGGCTTATGGTACAGAAGCAGTCATTCCATTGAAGGTCGGCATCCCAAGGATCAAAACCCAGGGAGTGGAAAATGGAACTAATGATGTATTTTTAGCCTGAGATCTGGATTTATTGGAAGAAAGAAGGGAGAAAGCAGCAATTCAACTGAGGAAATACCAGCAGCAGCTTGCCAGGGCTTATAATAAGAAGGTGAACCTACGAGAGTTCCAAATTGGTGACCTCGTCCTAAGAAAGGTCGTCGGGAACAAGAAGGATCCCAAAGAGGGCAAGTTTGGCCGGAATTGGGAGGGACCCTATAGAATCATCTCGGTCTTGGGCAATAGGGCATATCGGCTTGAAGATAGTGAAGGCAAAGAGCTGCTAAGACCCTGGAATACTTGCAATTTGAAATTTTTCTATCACTAGATTTTCTTGTTTTTTAAGTTCTCTTTTGTTTTGTTATTAGCCGAAGTAATAATAAAGTTTTAGCTTGATTTTTAAAGTTGTCTAGTGTGATTGACCAAATATTTGACGATATTTCTAAGGAAAACATGACAAATAACTTGCTTATTATATGGCAGAGTTGAATTTTACTTGCATATAATAGAGTTGAGCTAAGTTGGCGATGTTTCTTAGCAAACATGACGAATAACTTAGACTTATTATATGGAAGAGTAGAATTATAATTGCATATAATAGAGTTGAACTAAGCTGGATTAACCTGGACTTGGCATATCAGCAGAATCAAACACAGATTAGAGCCAAGTACATGTCAGCCAGATTAACAAAGAGGCCGAGGTTGGTGACCTCGGCTAGTCTTTGTTTGAATCTGACCTCGGCGAAAAGGTCAAAGCCACATGCTTAATGAGAACCCAAGTGGAATTTAAGTTCACATTAGGGGGCAGGGGGCAGGGGAATGATGCTTGAGAGTTGGAATTTACAAGCTAAAGTTAGTTTAACACTTGTTAAAATTTTAAGAAAAATTTACAAGTTGAAGTTAAGTCGAGGTTATGTTAAAGGAAGCTAGTTTAACACTTGTTGAAATTTTAAAAAAAGTTTATAAATTGAAGTTAACCTAAGGTTATGTTGAAATAATAGAAGACAGAGGTCCTGATAAGTATAGAGTGAAATGGCAAGTTGTAAATAACACTAGTAAAAATATTATGAATATTTTCAAATGTTAGGTCAAAGCTGAAATAAGTTGTTAGTGGGAATAGCCAAAGTATTCCACACCGAGAAGATTACACAGTTAAGGTGTATGTTGAAGACATATAAATTATTCTAAGTATAGAATCACACAAGAATAAAAAGAAGACAAACATGCAATCACATTGAAAGAAGAAATTTAAAGTTGCATTCAGATAAGGAAAGAAGACACTTTGGCCTGACATTAAAGAAGTAATTGTTCAAGACTACAAAAGTGGCACATCGGTCAAATTAAAACTTACATTGTTTCGAAAGGTAAGAGAAAGTACAAGGTACAAGAAATAAAAGAGAAACACCAAACTAGACTATTCAGCGTCATTGGCTGGTTGGGTCTGGGGCTCGAAGGACATCTGTGAACTCTTCTCAGCGGCCTTATCAGCTGCGAGCTCAGCGTCGATCTCTTTAAGAGTCTTGTTGAGGCTCTTCTCGGCGATAGGCACCTCAAATGATGTCTTCTCGGCAGAGGCACCCTTTGAGACCTCGTCCTCCTCATCCTGAGACAAGTCTACGACTTGCTTATTCACAGTAAGGGACTTAACCCCAACAGCTTCTTTTTTCTTCTTCTCGGCCTCAGCTTCCTCCTCGGACTCAGCCTCGTCCTCAGATTGGCTTGGAGTAGGAGGGAATAACAGGATGAGGTTGCCTGCATCTTTGAGGGGAGAGTCCTCAGGGACATCCAACTTTTTCAGTGCAGCCATCCAACCAAGGGTGAAACCCTTGTTGCATGCCTGCCTGACTTGTCTCTTGTAGTCTTCTTTGACGTCGGCTGCCTCCTCGGCGTACGCCTTCTCGTCTGCGGCCTTGATCTCGGCATCTTTGGTGGCTAGGGCAGCAATGAGTTCGGCCTGGGCGTCAGCGGTCTTTTCCTCAGCCTCTTTCTTTTCGGCCTCGAGGACCTTGGCAATGGCCTCGGCAGCCCCTGCTTTCTCCTCGGCCTGCTTCATTAGAGTCTTCATTTTGGCCTCAGCCCTGTTAATGGCCTTCTGCAAGCCAACAGCCTCCTTGGTCTTGTTGGCCAACTCCTTCTTGATGTTGAAGGCTTGCATTGCGAATGAGTGACCATGCTGGATCGCCTAGAAAGAATGGACAAGACAATAAGTTAGCAAAATTTTCTAAGTAAGGGAAATAAAGAATGTGAAGTACCAAGTTTTAGGGGCATACTTGTACGGAATGTTGCAACATTAGAGAGAAATTTTCGTATTCGCTTATCACGGCATTACGATTGAGATCATTAGGAAGGAGCAAGGTAGTAGAGAGGGCAATGCCGGCTTCAATGTTGTCGGCGTTATCGCCAGCTCTGACCGGCTTGTCCTCGATTGTAATTACAGGAGCCCAAGGGGCATCAGACTTCAGAGACCCCGAGGTTGTTGCGGGCTCAGACCTCGGCCTCTTCGACCGAGTTGATTAGGATGGTTCGGCCTCAGCGGGTCTCTTCTCGGCAGCGGAGGAGGTCTTCTCGATCTCTGCCAATTTTAAAATTGGCAAGGTGTCCTCAGTGTCAATTTGAGTCCCCGTTGCCTTGGGTTGGGCCTTCTTCAGTCTTTTGGGCTTTGGCTTTGGTTGAGACTGGGATGGAGAAGGTTGAGCATTGACAGTGTCGGGGATGTCAGCAAGAAGATCGTCTACAACTGCTTTCTTGCGACCCATCTCGGCAACGATTACAGTTTGGCGTTGACGTTTGCGTTAAGATGGAGGGATCAGATAGGGAGTCGAGGTTGATGGTCACTCAGCTAGATCGGAAGTTGATCCCTGATCTGGCCAAGGTGATGAAGTTGCTGGTGGAGTTGTGACGGAAGAAGGAGACTTGCTCTTCTTCTTCGAGACGTCGGGCAAAACGGATTTGTAGGTTGGGATGTAGTTGAGCAGTAAGAGAGCTCTCCGTCTCTGAACTGGTAGATCCAACAGCTTCTTCAAGTCTTTGCTAGGGAAGAAGGACTTACGGAAGTGTTTTGGCGGCTGTGGAAGAGCTGCAAGAGAAACAAACGTTAGAACATATAGAAAGAACGAAGTATTAAAGACTTGAAAAACAAGTAAGTATAACACTTGGCTCTTACCATTACCCTCTATGAACACTGTTCGGCTAAGAGGGTAGAGGTGAAGGTCCTCATCTGGAGTGAACTTCCAATTGCCCGAGACAATAAAGTAATCATCCCTGACTCCCTTGTTGGAGTCTGGGAGGTCGGCAACAATTTTGTATTCTGTGGACCTCGGTTTGAGGTAGTAGATGTAGCCTTTTTCTAATTTGAGGCCACACATGGTGTAGCAGTATTGGATATCAGCTAAAGTTACCCTAGCATTTTCTCGGCTAGCTAAGTCTATGATACCATTGATGACTCTGTAAGAGTTAATGGCTAATTGCATTGGGTTGAGTTTATAATAGTGAAGGATTTCTAGGAAAATGATGAGAAGGAGCCTAAGTCCACACTCTATGAAAGCTACAACGGGGAAGGGCATGGAGTCGACTGTGGGCATGATGGAGTCATCCTCCCCAATTAACCTGAGATGAATGTCGGCCGGGATGTCAAACTCCTGCCTGAAGTATTCTAACTTAGTTGGGGTGTCTACCCTATACCTCCACATGCCCATGATGTCGACTTGGGGGAAGATGTTGGATTTCAGAAGGGAGTGTTTGTGAAGGTTTAAAGGACCTCGGCTAAAACCTAAATGTATGCTGGGGTAAGAATTTGTGAGGATCTAAGGGGAATTCGTTTCAGTTTTCCCTAAGATTCGTGAGTTCTACGACAAATCCCAAACCTAAGTCTAGGCAAACAAAGATTGAAGGCAAGAATTTGGAAAAGACACATAAAACAGAAACAAGAACAATGATTCAGAATCAAGAATAGTGATAAAGTTTGTACAGGTGTGTAAGGCCAAGAACAGTGGCAAAAATCAACAGATATGTAAGCAATGTGTGTATACATAGGAAAAGATTGGGCGAAAATAAAGTCATGAGGCAAACATGCCCTTATACATGATTGAATTCAACGCACAAATGAAGGTTCAAGAATATGAATAAAGTCACAATAGCAGAATATAAACGTAATAATTCGAGGATAAACGAGAAATTAAAGTAAAGGAGAACAGTGGCTTACCAGAAGGGTGAAGTCGGTGTTGAGTACGCCGAAGTCAGATAATGGTAGCAATCGGAAAGGATCAGCAAAAGCTTCGCTGAAGGGGAAGAATGGAAGAGGTTGCAGAGCTTGAGAGCTTGAAAACAATGGCAGATTTGGGAGAGTAGAGAGAGAGAGTTAGCACGAAACTGAAGATGCAAAAGTGAAAAGACGGAGAGAGAAGTGGTTTTGATCAAAACCACAAAATGGCGGCAAAATTGTAATCAATGTGCCTAGGGCAACGTGCTTGTTAGATGGCACACGCAAAAATGAAGCGACTTGATGGCGCATGTCAGGTACGGCTCAATAGGGAAAAGATGCGTGGCAGAAACGGTTGAAATATTGTGCGTGACAGCTCATATGCGTGATAAAACTCTTGGAGATCTTGATTTAATGAAGCAAAGACCTCTACTACGGGGCGATCTCGACTCAATGAACTTGAACAGACTTGGTTATTAGTTTTAAAGCGTTGATACAAACACACTGAAGTGTTTATCATATGGAAGCCGATGTGTAGCAACCTCGGTAATGAAAGATAAAGCAAGTTTAGCTGGCGTGCTATGAGTTCAAATGATATAAGTTCCATCACCTCAGTATGCCGAGGTAATAGAACCTATGGGGCAGTTGTGGGGACATAATTTTTGAATAGCAACACGTGGCCAAGGTGGCACCGAAGTGTCAGCCGAGGTGCCACGTGTCCTGATCATGACGCCAAGGTAATCTCGGCTAGGCCGAGGTTATCTGCGAAGATACTGGAATCCGGGATAGGCGGATAAGGGACAAAAGTCCTAGAATGAGAGAAGACTTCAGTTTGGATAAATATAAGAATCTTAGAGATTTTATCCCAATCCTACTGGGAGTCGAAGATTAGTAGTAATCCAGTGTCCATTGAAGCTAGGCTTCTTTTGGGACTAGGTTTGTGTTGACTATAAAAAGGAGGCACCCTCATGAGTCTAAGGTATGCTTTTTGTATTCTGAATAGTGAGTTAAACACTTTCGCTATCTTTGAAAGATAACTGACTTGATCGTCGGAGTGCTCCCGGGTGGAAGAACCACCGTCGGAATCTCTTCTTTTTGTGACAAGTCGTTCGGGCTTAACCTATTCTGCCGGTGCTCTCCAGCTAAGTACTAGTTTGGCAGTGTAGTCAGAAATCGACTCACACACTATTTAAGTCACATCATCTTATTTAAGTCACATCACCTCTTTACTATATCACTTCAAACCCAACCCATATTTTATAAAAAGTTAAAAAGTACACTTATTTAAAATATCCCAAATAAACCATTAAGGCCTTGTTTGTCATAATCTAAAAAAAAATTTAAAATTAAAAAGTCACTACTCTATTTAAGTCACATTATCTTATTTAAATCACATCACCTTTCTATCTCATCACTTCAAACACAACCCATATCTAACTCATATTTCATAAAAAATCAAAAAGTACACTTATTTAGAACATCCTAAACAATTCTAAAAATTTAGAAAGTAAAAAAAATATAAATAAAATATAAATGAAATACACATTTTCTTTTCAAAAAAAAAAATCTATATTCTAAACACAATCTTAGTACTTTTTACTGTAATCAGTTCAAAGTGGGTTGTAGATCTTTTCTCTGTTGAATTTTGTCGGATTCGAATCGGTGGAGGTGGTTGTTTGTTCGAGCGATTTCTTCAATTCTTTGAAGGTGGAAGGCAGATTGGATAATAATCTGGCTAGCAAAGGCTCTTGGGCTTGCTCTAGTTCTTCAATGTCTTCGTTTACTTTGGTTATTTGATACTTTTCAATAATCTCATCACCCATTTCTTCAATTCTCTGTGCTCTGTCCCTCTCAAAGATTGTGAAACAGAAAACCAGGAAGGGCTTTTTCACAGGCCTTTCCTGTTAGAAGCACTGAGGGATTGATGGGTCAATGGGTGTAGATCAGGAGACAGCTATGTAGTTTTGGTAGGTTAATTAGGTGTGTATGTTCTTCTGGTTATTGTTGATAAAAGACCTTAGAAAGAAGGTTGACTTTTTTTGTTTTTTTTTTTAATCAGTTGAAAACAGAAAGGAAACACACCCTAGCAAAACAAAATTAAACCATCCTGGTTGGTTTGAGCTGCGGATTGATTTTTTAGGTGCCCTTTCGTAACATTTATATTTTTAGTTTTAAGTTTATATTTATAAAAATTTTAAAAATTTAAATAAAAATTTATTTGGTAAATTTTTTATTTATAAATCAGTGGTCTCAGTTTATAAATTTGACTAAAAAATATAAGCTCAAAAAATGAGTTTACGTTTTGAATTTTCAGTTTTTTTTTTTTTTACCACTCAACACTAGCCATCACCTGCCACCATTTTCCACCACCGTCTTCCACCACCACCACCTATCACCCACCCCTCACCACCAACACTCACCACCCACCTGCCACCACTACCCACCACCTGCCGCCCACTCGCCACCACTATCCACCCCTCGCCACTACCACCACCACCCACCACCCACCTACCATCCACCCGCCACCACCACCTGCCACATGAGCACAAAAGTATATTTCAACAATGTTATTCATAGTGTCAAATACTATAGGAATATTGTTTTAACTTTTAACATGATAAATATTTTGATTTCTTAAAAATTGTTACATTATTTCAAATAAATGTGACATCACTTGTTTTTATGTAAATTGAATAAAATTAATATTTTTAAAAAATACTAAGCGTGAATTAAAATTTAAGATACAGTTTTAATAAAATCAATTAAAAATACTAATCATCAAATTTTATTTAATTTGATTGAATTAAACTAATGAAGAAAGGTTTTTTAAAAAATTAATTATTAAAAAATTTATTTAATGGAACTCGTTGCAGGATACATTAGAGACCTCCTCTGAGGTTATTTATGTAATTCCGGACATCCAATGCAATAAGCTATGTTTTCTGAACATCCAAAAT